TACCAAGGTTTGGTTGACTTCATAGGTTTCCATTCACTTGATAAAGCAATTCATGCAAAGATATGACTTATCATTTCATGTGACTTCTTGATTCCGAACTTCATGAAACTTTTCCACGGGTCTAGATGGATGCATGTGGATATAACGTACATGGAATAAGCATGTTTAACATTACTCTTGCATAATATTAACAAGGGTCCATATGTAAGCAAATGTGCAATATCCGAGTTTAGGTTGGGGCTCATTTCCATAGGTTTGACCTTGACATCTCCATCACCACTGAACATGTCATGGTTGAGTTTAAACCCATTGCTTAATGGGTGACAAATACCTGGGGTGTTACAACGGTTGTCTTCTAGGTTGTTGTCGTTGCTGCAGGACCTCGGGTTGAGTCAAATCGCCGGATCATGCATAGAGGTGTAGTTGTCGTGCTTGTTTGATGTACGTATACATGCAAGAAACCAAGATTGGTTTGGCTTGCATGTCGCTGTACGTGTGTATGCGGCTCACGCACATACATGCAAGCCTAATTAGCTTGCGTAGCCATGTTGATCACGTAGTCATTGTTTGCTTGTGGCTGTGTGTATGCTTGTGTAGCTGCATACGTGCTCCACCATGCAAATCCATCCGTGATTCATATCCGGCGGCTTGCTTTTCTGGTGTTAATCTCGATGAGCTCCGTGGACTTGGGTCAGTAGTCTGAGATGCATCCAGGGTGCCTGGGGGCTGCAGTCTGGATCGGATCGCACGTCGCGCAGGAGCCTAGCCCATCATCGCATGTGGTGGAAGCAGGCCGCAAGCGACGCGGGGTGGTTCGCGGTGTTGTTCACGGAGAGCACGGTCGGAGCGCTGAGCCTTGAACACACAGCACGGAGCGATGATGGAGATGATGCCACCATAGAGTGCGCAGCGAGATTGCGTCACGTGGGATGTCGTCGCAGCCATCGGAGTTGCCGCAAACAACATTGATCCTGAGATCCCATCTGATTCGCTAGGCATCAGCACGCACACCCCCTACCTGGCGTGCAAACTATCGACAAAAGATGCTCAGCAGTCCTCCGAGGGGTATCCCACAAAGGTAGATTAATCGGTGGAGGTGCATGTGATAGGAACCGGATGGTGACATAAGGCGCAGAGACAGCGATTTAGACAGGTTCGGACCGTCTGATCAACGTAATACCCTATGTCCTGTGTCTTTGTTGTATTGTATTGAATATGAGATGCATATAGATGTTTACTAGGGGACCCCTTCCTCTCCTTATATACTCTGGAGGGGTAGGGTTACAAGAAAAGTATCCTATTTGGTACTATACAATATCTTGCGGTGCATGTCGACCAGTGCCGTGCACGTCTTGATCTTGTGGGCTGGGCCACCTCTGATGGTGCGGCCCATGTTTTGTCTTATGGATACCAGGGGCCATACCCCCACACCGACACATCTGGAACCATAGGCACTATGTCTGATGTGGTCTTTTGCCAATTGCAACCAAGTCTGGCCAGGCTTTTGGCCACCTGCATGGAGCCCTAACGTCTCTAGAGCTGTCTGAAAGTGCAATCAAGCCTTAATTATGGGTTTTGGTGATAATGGCCACGTAATTAGAGAACTAATGAGATTTACCAAGATGACAATCAGGAAATTTATATTCGAGGATGCTACACGAAACGGAGGAGCCCCCAATTATAAATGTAGATGGCTTCAAACTCAAAGGATGTTTAAATTCTTTTATATATTGAATTTGAGTATAGGAAAAGTCATACTATAAAGGGGAGTACAATGCTTAAGCTAATATGCGCTACCAAGTGCTTAAACAATCACATGCATCATCAGATTCACAGCCAAGACAATTTACAATTCAATATTACTCTTGCTGTCTTGCGCGGTGCGGCACTGTCGCACTTGAAGAGAGGCTCGTCCGACCCCTTGGTCGAGGGCTCCGGTTCGCCCGACCCCTTGGTCGCGGGCTCCATCTCGCCCGACCTCGAGGCCACGGGATTCATCTCACCCGACCCCTTGGGTGCGGTGTTCGTTGAGGGCTTGGGGTATATATATCTTTCTCTTTCCTTCTCAATGGCTATCTGCGATTCAAGTGACCGTTGAGGGCTGGGGGTATATATATACCTTTCCCTTTCCCCCAACGGTAACCAACCTCTTCTTTCTCACTTCAGCACGCTCAAAATAGAGCAGGAGCTCTCTCTCTCTCTCTCTTACTCCATTGTTGATCTCAAGCCCCCAAGTAAATCCATTGATCGCCCCATCAATCATTTAAGGAAAAGGGTCCAAAACTCTATTAGAGAGCAGCTCCATTGTTTTCCAAACTCTAAAGAGCACTTGGTTCACGTTTTAGCCAGCGGTTGTGTTTGTTACTCTTGAAGCTTAGCTCTAGCCGGCTAGAGCGTCGCCCGGTGAGCTTGCCAAGTTTGTGGCAGCACTGGGAGGTTTGTAACCACCTCTTGTAGCGAGTAAAATCACCCCTCATCTTAAGAGGTCACTCTCTTGACTTGAGAACGAGATAGGGCTGCAAATCCCTAAGCCTTAGTGGTATACCTCAACAACGCGGACATAGGCAAGCCTTGGTAGCGAGCTGAACCACGGGATAAATCCTTGTGTCATCTTGTGCTTGTGTTGCTGCACTTGTGTTCTTGTTGTTGTTGAGATAATTTTTAGAGTTTGTGGCCGATCTACTTGTGTGTTGTGTTCCCACCACTTTCAGCTGTCAATCTATGATCTACTACCCTATAGGAAGCTAAGAAATTTACCCGATCTAAATTTCGTTGGCTAGATTTTGAACTGTGAACTAATCTCTCTGTAGGTGCGGTAGTGCCGCGCTCACAGAGCGGCAGTGCCACGGGTGAATTTGACTTCGGTTTGAGTTGATTTTTTACAGACCTATTCACTCCCTCTTGGCGTACCAGTGATCCTACACTGTCGATTTAGGTAGTGTTTGGTTTAGGGGCAGGACGAGGACCAGGTGGGATATCCCATTTCATCCAGTGCTTGGTTTCGAGACATCAGGGACGGGGATGACTCAGAGAGGAATATTCCTCGAGATGCAGGGATGCCCCCGTCCCCTGAAAACGGTGGGATGGAGTGGGACGAGCAGGGATGCGCGAGCGGCATTACTTCCTCATTTCGTGTGTCGCCTCGGTCCTTCCTCCACGGCGACGGCCTCCTCGCCCCCATGACCCCGGCAAGGGCCCTCCTTCCACTACACGAGCTCGGTGGCAGCCCTGTCGTAGGACCCTCATCGTGAGCTCGGCCATGGCATGACCGGCCCCAGCCCCCGCCACGAGCTCGGTTGTGGTCACCTACTACAGCGCAAAAGGCGGCAAGGGCGACAATGAGCGGGGGTGGCAACTAAAGCGTGGTAGCCAGAGGCGGTGGCTGGCCCCACTGCCGACCTTCGTGCGACCTCGGCCATGGCTCCAAGCGTGGCAGCCAGGTGTGCAGGCGGACTCGGGCCATCTCCGGCTAGAAGCGCTGAGAGAGGCATGGCCAGAGAGGGGCACCACAGCGTCAGGAGAAGATAAGGAAGACAAAAATGGAAAAAAACGAGGATGACAGGTGGGGCCGTCTAAAACAAAGTGAGACCCACGATTACCTGGTTTTTAGCGGTGTCTATCCACCATCCATCCCATTTCTATTTATCCTTTCAACCAAACATAAAATGGGTCGATCCCGTCCCTTGTCAGTCAAACAGAAAATGGAGTCGTCCCGTCCCAGAAATCAGAGACGGGACCGTTTCGCTCCACCTTGACTCCCAATCAAACGCTACCTAAGGGTGCACGATAGATGGATTATCGATAAATGGTGCGACATGTTTGTAATAACCTAACTCTTCCTACCCTCCACATTTGTTACTTCTTGGGGACCTAATCCCAAACAATTTATAGGTGCCAAGCACCCTTCATCCCCGACTTGTTGGTATCAGTGAAAAATGTTTAGGTGGAGCTCTCGCCACTCCGATAATGTCCTAAAAACTCCCATTCAAACAGGCTCTCATTACCGAATTCTAATTCGGTAAATGGTACTAGTGCAGATATCACGGCTGCTACTCCTGCCAACATCAAAATCTTTGGATACCGGTGAACCGGCGGCAATATATACTCCGTACCATTCTATATAACAGAGAAAAAACACAGGTTCGCGCCAATTGGTCCACAGTGCGAAATGTCCGGGGCGGCAGAGACCCATACGTGAGCATGGAGCTCGGCGGAGACCCATACGTGAGCATGGAGCTCAGCATGACCGCTGTTGCAGTAAACACGGAAAGGGAGCACAGTGTGTCAAACTCGATAGTCCAAACCTGCATCATAAATTCTGAATCTAGATCTTGTGCATATCATCATCCTTGCTTGGATCATTCCATCCCTTTGGCCCCGTTCGGCTTGCTGAAACTTTGCTGAAAAAACTGTTCTGACTGAAAATGTTGTGAGAGAAAAACAATGTTCCGGCTAAAAAAAAAAGTCGAACAATCCGGATTTAAGGTAAGCCGGATATAAGGTAAGTCTCCAATATTCGCCATCATCTTTCACAAGATACCTTCCATAAGACCACACTAGCGTTGCCTGAAAAAATAAGCAAACTACACAATACTCCTGTCTGTGAACGCCATTGGGATAGGGACGGTGATCACATCACAATTTGATCCTAGACGTGACAGACTGACGGCCACTGACGCACACACACTTTGACGCAGCAACCTTCGTAGGGTCAGAAAAACTCAACCAATAGCCTACACGCACCAGCCGAACCAGAAAATCGTAAAACTCTGCCGGCCAGCCGGGGCGACGAGCTGCCCGCCAAACCCCCCCATTTGGCACACTCTGTCCCGCGAGACCGTTTCCCGCTGCCCCCTTCGCGCATTTCACCACGTCGCCCTGTCACGTATGATGAGAACAACCGAGGATTCTGCCGCTACCCCACTGCCACCACGAGGCGTACCGCGTAGCAGAGCCAGCTCCTGGTTGATTCGGTCACGTCACCCGCTGCGTCCACGACAATGGCGCCGCCTCCGTCGTCCTTGCTCCGTGAGCTCCTCGCTGCTGACGGCTTCAAGAACCGTCACAAGCCGCCCGACAGCTCCGCCCCGGCGGCCTCGAGAGCCGCGAGCATGCCACTCCAGCACCGGCGCCCGGGCAAGCCGCCCTCGCGGTCACAGTCCGATGTGCTCACTCGCAGCCGCCTGAGGCAGATGAACGTCGACGCGGACGATGGCAGCAGGGACGCCGGTGCCGAGCGGCGGTGGGCCGCGACCGAGACGCGAGGGTCGTCGGCGTCGCTGACGAGCGCGAGGAGCCACAGCAACAAGGGCGCCGGCGACAGGGGCTCGGGCGCCGGTGCCAGGAGGGGCAACGCGTCTGACTCTTCCGCGGTGCCGGCGCTCGACGAGTCCGCGCTCACCGCGCTCATCTCCCTGGCCTCGGGGCCCCTGAAGCGGTTCGCCAAGGACGAGGCGTTCCGCGCCTCGCTGCGCGCCGGCTGCGCGTCGTGCCTCGTCGACTCCAACCACCGCGCCGTGCTGGACCTCCGCGTGCACGCGCAGACCGTCGAGCGCGCCGCGACAGAGGGCCTGGACCCGCGCGACCTGAAGCACGCGTCGCTCAAGCTCCACGAGATGGCGTCGCACCAGGGCAAGGACGCGGACGCGGTGACCGCGGCGGTGGGCGTTCCCTACCCGCGCCTCGCCGCGTGCGCGCACCTCTACATGTCCGTCGTCTCCAAGCTGCAGGCGCGGACGGTCCTGCTGCCCGCGCTCTGGGACAGGCTCTTCCGGCCGGGCCTCTCTCACCTCAGGACGTGGCGCGACCGCGAGTCGGCGGCGGCGAGCGCGGACGAAAGGGTGAAGGAGGTGGAGAAGGTGTTCGTCGACGTACTGGACGAGGGGACGCGCGCGCTCGCGTTCTACTACAGGGACTGGCTGCTGGGGCGGACAGACGCCATGGCTCTCCCGGACGTTCCTGCTCCGCTGAGCACGGTCCATGCCAGCGCGCCGAGGTGCTCAGCGTCGACGTCGTACGACATCAGCTCGGAGGTCATGTTCGGCTCCGGGAGTTCGAGTCCGACGAAGTTCGCGTACGACGACACAATGCTGGCATCCGAGGAGATCGAGGAGGAAGAAGCGGTGTACTCCGACGCCGCCGCAGACGCGGTGACCGTGCTCCCGGACCAGGAGAGCGATGGAGCTGGAGGTGAGGAAAGGAGCTACATTCCCGCTCTGTTGGCAGAAGAAAACGTGCCCGTGCCTGACAATTTAGACAGAGAGACGTTCGAACCACTTGTAAGCATTTTCCCCGGAAACATTCCATCATGCTTATTCACACGAAATACACCAAAGTTTATGACAAATTACATCTCACAATCATATTCATAGGTCGAAGAAGAACCCAACAAGGAATCTGATGCGTCAGCAAGTTACCCGACGTTTTCTGACAACTCTGCTATTCACCTTCTTACGCTCGAGTTCTGGTACGAGCACCACTCCCTTCCCTTCCTTCCCTTCCCTTCGACTATCCTCCAATCTTCCAGTGCATACAATACAATTCTGTACTGATCGCTGTGATTTCTTGTAAGTTCCTCAGTGAAGTGCCACTCCAGAGTGACACAGATGGCAACGACGAGTTATCCATTTTCGCCACGGTTCCCAGCGACTTCCTCTGTCCACTGACGCGCCAGATCTTCAACACGTACAGAGAAGAGGCATTGCAGCACGTACAGAGAAGAGGCGACCAAGACCATCACACATTCTCTGAGATGCTGCCTGTCAGATGACAATGTCGAGCCCAGCACTCGGAGAGCTCTGCTGCTGTTGGGAGGGCATTTCACCTTCTCAGGCAACCTTCTCGCAGAGGACTGGATGCTGAAACAGGCCGGCTTCATCGACCACTCACAGGCCGTTGCTCCCAGTTCTGACGATGTCATACATGTACATGTACTGCACACCCGGCCACCTTTTACACCCAGAACACTACCAATGAACAGTTTCTTAAGTTCGCTTTGCGCACCGCTCAGGAGAAGGAAGCGGCCGAAAACGATGCGTGGTGTTACGAACTCAGATGAATCTCAACATTCAAAGTAGCAGTAGCGGAGTTTAGGCGAGTAGCAAGGATGGAAGCAGAGGAAGGCAGCAAGCAGGGGGCCGGGTTCAGAGGAAGTTGCAGGCGGAAGCAAGGTTTACAATAATCATTCATGCCCTCTCATCTCGCAACCATTCTGTATATACGACGCCGCAATCACGCCTTGGCCCAATCGTCGCCCACGATGCGCCTGTTGGGAAGTCGGGCCCGACCGGACCTGCGTAGCTGCGGCCCATTCATCCGCCGTGGCTTCAGCCCATCACGCGCTTCCGATGTCGGACCCGTCACAGTAGAAGGCCCAGGCGCAACATCCCCCTTCCTTGCGCGCCGAGCCGGTTCCAGACGGCGGCGCGGGGAAACTGCTGCCGAAGGAACTCTAAATCTTCCCAAGTAGCAAGAGACTTTGGCAGATTAGACCATTGAATGAAACCTTGAGTGATAGAACGCGTACCCTTGTGATTGATCTTGTCTGAAGAATCTTCTCAGGCACACTCCAAAGGACGGCCTCTGATGGTGGATGACTGGTGACAGAACGATGAGCTCCCACCGACTGCTCGAGCTGCGACACATGGAATACCGGTGTACCGAAGAAGATACCGGCAGCTCCAATTTGTAAGCCACAGCCCCCACACGAGCTAGTATACGGAAGGGTCCGAAAAATTTGAAGGCCATCTTCTGATTGCTGCGCCGAGCCAAGGAAGACTGTACATATGGCTGGATTTTGACGAACACCAGATCACCAATCTGAAACTGGCGCTCAGATTGATGCTCATCAGTTTGTTTCTTCATATGTTGCTTAGCGTGATTCAGATGGAGACGGATCACCTCAGACATCAAAGCCCGGTCAGTCAACCACGCATCCAAGTCAGGAACTGTTGTACCTGAAGGAGATGGAATGCCAAAGTGGCGTGGAGCATGACCATACAAGACCTCAAAAGGAGAACGCCCCAAAGCGGAATGCCAATTGGTGTTATACCAAAATTCAGCTTCATCTAGCCACTGTCGCCACTGATGAGGGCAAGCATGCACAAAGCAACGCAGGAACGTCTCCAGACATTGATTGACTCTTTCGGTTTGCCCATCCGTTTGCGGATGATAAGCGGTACTCATCCGCAGCTCAACTCCAGCTAACTGAAACAGCTGCCGCCAGAAATGACTTGTAAAAACTCTGTCTCGATCCGATACAATAGCTTGCGGCATCCCGTGCAACTTATACACTTGAGAGATAAACGACTGAGCCACCGATCTTGTAGTGAAAGGATGCTTAAGAGGCGGGAAATGAGCATACTTGGAAAAAAGATCGACGATCACCATGATGCAAGTAAAACCCTGGGATGATGGAAGCCCTTCAATAAAATCCATGGATACCACAGACCATGTGTTGTCAGTACTGAGCAATGCTATAGCAAAGCCGAGCGATTTGGAATGGTCGAGTTTAGCTTGTTGGCGGACCGCACAAGATGCTAAAAAAGATCAGACTATCGACTTCATGCCGGTCCATGCAAAGATTTGCTTCAATCGGCGATAAGTGACTGAGATACCGGAATGTCCACCAACCGCAGTCGAGTGCACCGCTGCAATCAGTCGATGTTGCAATTCAGAATCAGCACCCACCCAAATACGGCATTTGTAGCGCAACAGCCCGTCACAAAGGGTAAAGTTGGGAACTGAATCTGGGGCCACAACCATCTTGGCCAGTAATTCTTGGGCTCGTGCATCGTGAGAGTATGAGTCCACCACGGCCTCTAACCACTGAGGCTGACAAACTGACATCGCGGTCAATTGAGTGGAAGGACAACGGGAGAGTGCATCAGCCGCTCCATTATCCACGCCCTTGCGGTAGACAATCCAGTACTGGAGACCGATGAGCTTGGTAAAGACCTTTTGCTGCCAGGATGTGTGAAGCCTTTGGTCAGTCAACTGCACCAAGCTACGATGGTCGGTGATGATCTGAAACTCAGCGTGTTGCAGATAACTACGCCAGTGCTCTAGGGCCAACAAGATAGCCATATACTCCTTCTCATATGTGGACAACCCCTGCAATCGAGGTCCCAAAACTTTGCTCGGAAATGCCAAGGGATGGCCTCCTTGCATCAGAACAGCTCCAATTCCAGTACCGCTGGCGTCAGTCTCCACTACAAAGGGACGGCTGAAATCAGGCAGAGCCAACACCGGAGCGGTGGTAAGAGCCTGCTTCAAAGCTGAGAAAGCTTGATCCTGGCTAGCTGTCCATACATATACAGCACCTTTACGAAGAAGATCTGTCAATGGCTTGGATATAATGCCAAAGTGCTTAACGAAACGCCTGTAGTATCCTGCGAGCCCCAAGAAACTACGCAATTCCTTCACTGACCGTGGCACCGGCCATTTCAAGATAGCCTACACCTTCTCAGGATCAGTGGCCACACCCTGCTTCGAGATGACATGCCCCAAATAGCGAAGCTGGCGCTAGGCGAAGTGACATTTGGACATCTTCACCTACCAGTGATCCTGCTAGAGCAACTGAAAGACCATCCTCAAATGCTCAAGATGTTCTTCATAGGAATGACTGTAAATGAGAATGTCGTCGAAGAAAACCAGTACACACTTGCGCAACAGAGGATATAGAGTATTGTACATGGCTTTAAGGAAGGTGGCTGGAGCTCCTGTGAGACCAAAAGCCATGACACAAAACTCGTACTGACCGGTGTGAGTTTGAAATGCAGTCTTGAATTCCTCCCCACTCTTCAACCGAATCTGATGGTACCCTGCTGTCAGATCAAGACAAGAGAACCAAGATGCATGTGTGAGTTCATCGAGAAGCTCTTCAATGACTGGTACTGGGTATTTAGCTTTGACTATGATGGCGTTGAGCTGTTGGAAATCCACACAAAAGCGATATGTGACATCCTTCTTCTTAACCAGTAACACCGAGGAAGAAAAGGGACTCGAACTGGGCTGGATCAGGCCGGCTTGCAGCATGTCAGTCACTTGGCGCTCGATCTCATCCTTAAGCAAGGGAGAGTAACGATAGGGCCTGACAGAGAACGGGTTAGCTCCCGGAATCAACGGAATAGCATGGTCGCAATGGCGTGCCGGCGGATAACCAGTCGGAGGAGCAAAGACAGACTGAAACTCTGATATGAGTGCTGCAATCTCAGGTGGAACTAGTTCCTGACTGGCCACAGTATCATCCGACAGCATAGAGCAAACTTGAATGACAGAACCAACAGGTAGGCTCGTCAGCTCACCTTGCAATAAACTGTGACCTTGACCATAGGGAATTATCATCCATTTGCTATGCCAATCCACCTGCATCGGACTGCACGAAGCCAACCAGTCCATTCCCACAATCAGCTCATAAGACTTCAGAGGTAAAACCTTGGCTGCTGAAACAAAGTTCAACTCTGAACAGACCAAGACATCTGATCAATTTGGGAGCAACAAGTCAATTGAGATCCATCGGCTATGGTGACCTAGAGGGCAGGACTGAAAGAGGTTATCCTGGACAACTGAGAAGCCAGCGCCTGACTGACAAAGGTATGAGTGCTTCCAAAGTCCACCAAAATCCGAGCCTGGTGTCTTTGTACCATACCCACAAACTGAATAGCACGAGCAGGTTACAAGCTACCTGATGCTGCCATGGAAATAGCCACACACTGGGGTGCTTCATCTGCCTGGACTGATGCAGAATCCGAGCACTCATCCGAATGACATATGTCCCAGAACTCTTGTAAGGCCTGGAGCTGGACGGTCTCTGAACACTTGTGGCCGCGCGACCATTTGTCGCCACAATGGACGCAGAGACCCCGAGCTCGGCGGTAGTCGCGCAGGGTGTTCAACTTGGACTCAATCCCACGGCCGCACTTGTCAGCAGGCATAACTCCTGGCACCGCCGGCTTGTCCTGGCGTTCAGGCCGAAGGGGCGGCAGAGGCAGGGGCAAGGGACCCCGCGGAGCCGCCTTCACGAAGGTGAATGGCTCCGATCTCCGAACATCACACCGACGGCTCGGCTCCACCAACTCTTCCTGCAACACAGCGAGCATGCAGGCAGTATCCAGAGTAGCAGGGTGTTGCAAATGTACAGCAGCACGAATATCAGCTCGAAGACCATCAACAAAACGCATGGCGTAATACAGAGGATCAGTGTTGCGGCCATGGGCGATCAATTGCTCAACTAGCCCAGTGTACTGATCAATGTACTCCTGCACGGACCCAGTTTGAGATATGTGGAAGAGCTAGCGGATCAGAAGAGCATGCTGATCCTTGCCAAAATGCTCCATGACCGCTTGACACAAGAATTCCCAATTCCCCTGACGAATCTCATCTTCCACGGACTGAAACCAGCGAGCCGTGGCTGCAGTCATGTGCATAGTGGCAACCTTAACCCAGCGGCGGGGGGGGGTACCGTGTACATGTCAAAGTAATCCAAACAACGCCCTAGCCACAATTTTGGGTTCTCTCCATCAAACGGGGGAAAATTCATTTTGGGTACGTGTTCGTGAGATCCCTCCCTAGACCAATTACCCCCAGGAACCCCTTCTCCATACCAAGGGCGACTCGAAACACCATCACCCCACCCGATCCACTGGGCACACCCGCTATGAGCGCTGATCCAGAGTAAGAGCGAAGCAACTTGGGTTTAGAATCAGGATTGGATGGGATGAGCGTACCCTTGACCGGGGATTGTCGATGTTTTACCACCGATAGCCTGCC